TATAGATGTTGTCTTGATATATGTATACAAAAATATAGATGTTGTCTTGATATATGTATACAAAAATAGATCGTGGATGCTCAAATGGATGCTCTAATTGGCTTGTTGAGAGACAGGGTGGAAGAAGTGAGGTAAACAGGGTGGATCATGGGTGATGTTCATCAAAAGATCTTGGGCTCTTGGAACGGGAAGAAGAATTTCTCATCGGATGACCTGGGAGACTTGGGAGTGAGCACTGGTCGGATGTGAGCACTGGCCCACCAGTCCGTCAGGTCCTTCGGGTGAGAACTTGGGGTGGACAAGCGTGGTGGCCACATGACTCCTGAGCCGACCTGAACGGACTGTTCTCAGTCCGTGACCCGAGTATATAAATGGTGGTCGTTGGGCCCGAAAGCTTAAAACCAAGAGTTCCCTGAACTAGCTGACTAATGAAAAGGTGTGATGTAGCTAGCTGCTAGTGCAGCAATGATTAGTGGCAACTGTTTCTCCTGGGCAAGTTTCGCAACTAGTCCCCACCCAAAAGGAATATTTAAGAAAATGCGAAACTGAGAAACAGACACTCCCCTCAAGGCTCTTGGCAAGTCAAGTGGTATGTCACATGTCTCAAAACTAATTCAGAGCTTAAGAGTTCTCAGCATCAATATCTCAATAGAACGAGCCAAGGTCAGTAGAAAATCCAAGGCTCTCTATGCTCTGCGCCTTCCCCAGCATCTGCGGCGCGGAGAGGAGGCACGGCCCGGGTGTGTCTCTCTTTTTCATGAGGCAACCGACCTCCCGCAGTGGTTCCTCCCGCAGGCCTGGGGTCACCGACCTCTAAAGGCTGCAAAGTCTGGATATTTATCAACAGATTATCCCTAGGGCTCCGAACGCCCCATATCCTCAGGTTCGGTGCAGCACGGCACCCACCCCGACCGGTTCCTACATTCCGTTCGCTCTTGGCCGCCTCCGTTCACTCCATTCTGACGAGTCGAGGTCTCGACGTCTCAGCAGCTGAGCAGCTGAAGAGATGTTAGCTGACGTCTTGTTAAGGAAGAGTTCATGATTCAACCAGGTTGTCATGTTTATCACTTGAGAGGGGGGCCTATCGCTTTTTCAGAACCCACACACACTTTCCACGGCACCAAAGACTGCGACAACAAGGTAAAGGCTTTTGAGGAGGTGCTGACGCTTTGCAGGCTTTGGCCACATTCTCGAAATTCATGACCGCTGTTTACTAAACTGGTCATCGGTTTTGGCGATTGCTCATGTGCTTTTCGGGCATAGACCCCCACAAGGACGTGTCATATCTGGCTGAATGAGTACAATCTTTCAAACCATCCGACGCAAATAGGGTCCACATTTGAATTGGCATCGCAGGGAGTAGAACATGCGGCATATAAACAATGCAAATGGTGAGTGCGAAGGTAAGACCGCCAGATCTGGCCCAAAACTTGGTGGATTTCAGGTCCCGAAGATTCCCGAGGTCCTTTCTCTTTCCTTTCCCACCCACTCGTGACAGGAGCGTGGAACAGCGATCTGGCACCTGGTGGCTCATCAGCATGAGCGCGAAAAAGACGATCATCACCAAGGCCCGGGGCAAAGATTGCACCGCCTCGTGACACGTCGGTGTCCCCGAAAGATCACGGAAGATCGATCTCAGGGACTGGGTACCTGGGGGGCTTTATGTACCTTGGGGGATGCATTGACCTCCAAGTCACCCAAGTTCTATAAGGTTGTAGAGAAGAGCCTGAAAGAAGGGAGACTGCTTGGTCTCGGACAATCTTTGATACACACTGCAGTGGATGCCACTGCCATCTGGAAGATTGAAACCGTTCTTGCAACCGAAACAAATGAGATTGTAAATTCCACGCGAGACCATCGCTTTGAAAACATGATGACTGCAGGACGTCGTCGTCAGCATGGAGGAGTCATCATGACAGCTTTATGGTGGTATATTTCATGACAAGCATGCTTCATCTACTCCATGATAAACATCGAAAATACGAACCCCTCGTTCTGCTTCATCTACCTCGTTTCGTTGAGACCCATTAGGTACCGCTTGGGTCGGTGCAAAGTGTGGCTTCTTTGGGGCGGAGCGCCACCGTGAAAGCGCCACCGTGCGTTAGCACACATGTTTGCCCAAAACTGGGCCATGAGCACTGAAAAGCTGTCAGAATTCCACTCTGTTCTAGAGCACCATATGCACTATAGCTACTCACTGCAAAAGGCGATGTTTTTGTGCCATTTTCGCTCATTCTCGTGGCCTTATCGCAATTGATCTCCTTCTGCCAGTAGGTGAAGAGCTCTTTGGCCTCAGCACACTAGGTCATACATCCATCTACTCCTGGTCGGGCTGACAGGCCAAACCGGCAAAACCGACAGCTGGCGTCGGTTTTGCTCCGAAAACACAGCTTGTTCCCAGCCAAGCACCCCCAAGCACCTCTAGGTTCAGGAGGAAAAACATGTTTTGCAAAGGTGTGAGAGCGCCGCGGCCAGATTTTGATGAGAACTCCGGATTCTCCTGAGGTCTGGAAGCCTAAAACCAGACTAAAATGCAAAAGTTCATATTGTTGTGGGGTCATCTGGAATTCCGACAATGCAGGTGACACCCATTGTGCAAGGTAAAATTTTGAAGATAAAACAGGAAACGGTGATTGTTGGCAACCTTCAAAAGGACTACCTCACCTATACAACTTCCCGACGCACCATGCTGCCAAAGGCTCTGGAACTCCATAATTATGCGCCACTTTCTTTGGCTTCAAGGTCTTGTATTCATCTTCTGAGCGACAGTGAGAGGATGAAGAACTGAGAACTGGTGACTGTTCTCTGATTGCTATGAAAATACCTTGCTACTCTGAAGCAACTCAAATCTTTATCCAAGTGCACCAGCAAGGTGGACAGTCATGCAAGCAGAACCTTTAGCTACTACTACTACTACTACTACTACTCCTACTCCTCCTCCTACTCCTGCTCCTGCTCCTGCTCCTACTCCTACTCCTACTACTCCTACTACTCCTACTACTCCTACTGCTGCTACTGCTGCTACTGCTGCTACTACTACCACCACCACTACTACTACCACCACTACTCCTACTGCTGCTGCTGCTGCTACTGCTACTGCTGTTGTTCCTGCTAAGAAACTGTTGCTTGCACAGGCATGTCCCAGGCGCGTGCAACTGTCCTATGGATCATTGACACTAAAAGACATGACCCAAGCATCCCCAAGGTCCTCACTTTCACCGAGAAACCAATGCTGGTCTCCACCCAATAGTACCTCTTGTGCGGTACAAACATCACCAGTACTCCATGGCGAAGGGAAACGACCTTCACAGGCTCTTCACGTTGATGCTCCGCTGCAATCAGACAAGGAATGATGACATTCACCTAATCTTGGAGGAGGTATTTCGGACAAAACCTGGAGCTTTGGTCCACCATGTAGCTTGACCTCCCGGGTAGGTCAATAGGTCGGTTTCCTGGTTTTGACCTATAGTATGCCTGCTTATGTGAATTCACTCAATCCTCTTTTATCCAATCTTGATCTGGGCTAGAGATTATGGAGCAAAAAGTGCGACCATTGTTGATACAAAGCGCTTTCATCCGCATGCAGGGTGGTCCATTCTCTCATGTTTTTTCTTTTGACACATCATCAAAGCGACTGCTGTAAAACTTGAACAAAAATGGCCCAATGTAGGTGCGTTCCCTTCTCTTGGTTTACTAGCCGATTCGGGCGGGTCATCATGGCACATTTCTTCTTCTTGGCCATCTGTTGATTCACACCCATCTCCTTTACGTCACTCGAACGCTGGAGCTTTGCTTCCCACGAGACCCGATACACATTTCGTGAGCAATGGATGTTCATTCCGACGGACTTTCTTCAAACACCTTTGCGGAACTTCTCTAGGGGCACCAAGTTGCAATTGATGATGTCTAACTAATTCATCTATTCAAGGCAGCCTCTGATCTCTTTATTGTTTGGAGGCCATCACTATTAGGTTGGAGGCCATCGCTATGAGGTGGGAGGCCGTCGCTAGTGGAGCACATTCCTTTTTCCCCGCCTGTCGGGTGAGGGTTGTTAGATTTTTACGTTAGCAGCCTCGCGTCCCTCCACCTCCTCCTACTCCTCCTCGCCTCCTCAACCGCAAGTGGCGGATGGCAGTGTTCTTCGCCGAACCCAGCTCCCGACAGCAGTGTTCCCCGCCGGACCTCAACCGCGAGTCAGAAGATATGCCAGATAGAGCATGAGAAAGAACGTAAGGAAAAATGTCAAAAGATATGCAGAAGATATGCCAGATAGAATGTCAAAACGAACGTCAGAAGACATGCCAGAAAGAATGCGAGAAGATATGAAAAAAATCAGAAAGAACGTCAGAAGATAGGATGTCTCAAAGAATGCCAACAAAATATGCCAGAAAGAATGTCAGGAAAAGCGTCAGAAGATATGCCAGAAAGAATGCCAAAAAGAATGTCAGAAGATGTGCCACAAACACTGTCTGAAAAATGTCACAAGATATCAGAATGTCAAAAGATATACCAAACAGAATGTCAAAAATAATGTCAAAAGAAATGCCAGAAAGAATGTCAGAAAGGACGTCAAAAGGTACACCAAAAAGAATGTCAGAAGATATGCCAGAAAAAAGACACAAGACATGTCAGAAAGAACGTCAGAAGATATGCTAGAAAGATTGCCAGATCGAATGTCAGAAAAAA